TCGTGAGAGAGGAGCGAAGTGAATCGTTCCTCCCGGCAGACCACTCTGTAGAGTTGATGTACAATGAGACTCTTGACCCAATTGCATCATTGGGATATCAGTAAGTAGTAAGTATGTGTGCGTGCAAGCTTACAGAGTGATACCCTATAACTTCGAGGGGGCATTAACGGTCTGTTCAATAGAGCTTTTAGTGGTTTGTTTGGTCGTTTTGTTCGTGGAGAAGAGCGAAGTGGATCGTTCCTCCCGGCAGACCACTCTGTAGAGTGATGTCAATGAGACTCTTGGACCCCATTGCATTCATTGGGATATCAAGAGTAAGTATTGTGAGAAGCTACCAGGAGTGATACCCTATACCTTCGAGGGCATAACGGTCTGTTCGAATAGGGTCTTTTAGTGGTTTTGGTTGGTCTTGAATTGTCCTCTCGAGACTGAAGTTGTGCCCGGGTCGTGACGAGCACCCGGTGAGTCTCGTCTCTGCAGATCGGGACATTTCGGCCTGTTTTCACTGCCGCTCCTGGGTCGAGCGGCGACGTGGTTTACAGAGCCTACCTTTGTGGGAACTGTTCGGTCCTACATCGGTCTGGTGCTCAGCTTACTCGGTGCGTCTGGGCATTCCAGGACGTATTGGGACTGAGGCGTGTCCGGTTTCGTTAGCGAAGGTTGTTAGGTCACCGCCTCTCGGCAACGAACCATTGCCGACACGGAAGACTCCCAATCGGGTCCTATTACTTCCAAACCAGTGATGATGTTTTGAGAAAACTGGACAGGTATATTCCGCATTCGTGCACTTGACCTGTGTCGTTTAAGCCGGCGACAAGGGCCTCCTTTGTGTCGCCGCCTCCTTTACGGAGTTACAGTTAACCCCATGTACTTGGTTGGTGGGACTCCATATTTCCGTCCCACCGCAGGTCTTTGTGAGAAGCGCAAACGGGGCCCCCGTTTGACTCACGTGCTTCCTACATGTCTCTCACGACGTTATAGTGTCTGTAGCGAACCGCTGACGGTCCCGGTCATTGTCGTGACAGGACAGTCGCTGTCCACGAGGTACAGTCGAGGAAGGTCCCAAGTTTACCCCAAGCTCACTCGGGTAGTATTTTGGTGACAGTCAGGGATTCCCGTGGTCACTGGACCTTTGTCCCTCCTCGGACGCTCGGGGAAAGTATATTTTGCGTCTGGTTCCTTACAAACCGATCGGCAGGAAAAGGGAGTTTCGGGTGTACCGTACGTCGTTATCGTTTGTCCATATTGAAACCTAGCAGTGTTTTCCGAAGACACAAATAGTTAATCCAGGACATCCTTTACTATTGTTGAATTGGGGTTGTCCTTTAACTTTTCTCCACCACGGGAAAAACTTCCGTGGTAAGGAGGATTTTGTGGGAGGTGAATGTCAAGTATCTCTCTGGACCACCTCCTTCGAGAACGTGAGGACTTATCACAAAATAGTGGAAGACGCCCTCTGGGGTGACATAAGTCTAACATGGTGAGTGCCGGTCCGGGTATCCCGGTCCCGAGGCCCCACACCCACTTTTCTAGCAGGGGAGGGGCCGGACTCGGTCATACAGGGAGCCCCCTCGACGGTGCCGACAGGGCGTGTACGTTCATATCCTTAGAGGTCACGATGCAACGTGGCACAAGCTACTTATAGGGTGGGTGGATTCCCTGACGCTGACGTCAAGATCACCAGCCAATCAGGATTGACGTAATGAGATTGATGCTTCTGTTTTCTCCGCGATGAGGCGCATCCCATTGTGAGACATCTCACTACATCTTACTCTGAGAACTGGGGTTATGTAAGTAACCTATAGTTACATTATGTAATGTTCAAAAAGAGAAACTCCCTCTGGAGGGAGCTTTGGAATGTGATCCTTTGCAGACCATTTACATGCATTAAAACACACTAAAGGAAAGGGAAAACAACAAAAAGCATAAAAAGGGCCACTTTAAAGTTTCACGAGAAAAAGAACAAAATGAGCACCGTGGGAGTCTGCATGAGGGCCAATCAAAAGACAAATCAAAGCTTTCAGCTGGCAGGACCATGCAGAATCATGTTTGAACTCTATGTAACTTCTGTGGTTTATGTTGTGTGTTGCACAGCTGGACACTTGACATCGTATCTTCTGCGAGTTCAATGATCAAATATTTACATGTTATTTACACCAGATGTTCACAACCCAGGGGTCTCACCCAATTAATAGAGGGGGGTAAATAAGGGTCACAGGATGCATTTGTAAGAAAGAATACATTTCCGATCCCAAACTTTTTTTTCTGACTTTACTCTCACCTCAGTTTTTCCATGTGAAATACAAGATACTTGAGTTCAGGACACCAAAGCCCAATGAAATTAAATATTTTGACGGGATGAATTCAAAACTGTTCAGAGGAGGAGCAAATGTTGATAGCCACCGATTTAAGTGGATCAACCTGTAAACTTAAGGGATGTGTGTTGAAGTGATAAAAGAATGCAACATGTGGGTATGAGGTGGTAATGAGGTTATGCAAGTGTCCTATACTGCCCTTAGTGATTGATCTAAGCAAGAAGTAACCATGAGCCTGGAAAGCATGATGTGTGCACAGTGCAGCAGGAGAGTCCACTCACCGTTCACACAGACACTGGAGGGCTCCACACTCAGGATCTCTGTGCACGAACGCTTTAATATCTGGAGGATGAGGGGAAAAAGGAAATGGGTACATTATCGCTTGAGGGCCAAGAATAAACACATCAAGTCCTGGCTGTTATCGGCTCTGTCAAGTTTAGAAAACAGATTAGGGTGCAACACCTGAGAAATGTCTCGCTCCTGATCGGGGCCTGGCGTCTAAAGGAGAGCGCTAAATATCGGCGGCGAGGAGAACAGGAGGGAAGAACGGCAGCTGTGTCAGCCTTTATGGGAAAATTATGCAAGACTATTGCATTTCTCAGATCTATTAAAAAACCTCCGGGATCCCGCATTATCATATAAAGAGGCCTGTGTGAGCCCACTGTCATGGAGCCACACTATCCGCTGTGATTCAATAAATCAACAAAGGACGAACTATGCAAATCCCAGTACACAGTCGGTAAAAAGAAGCATATTAACTGCAATATAGGATGCTTGAACCTTTCATTTGATGTTGGGTGAAACTTCAATCTAAGGAGAGGAAGACGGGACTGTTTACAGAGGCCTTATTAAATATGATGGTTTGATATGGGATCGAGAAAAGGGGAGAGGCTTGCAGATGACAGCTGGGAGGAAAAGGATCTGCTGCTGTTCCTCTGAGCCACTATTTTCCCCGTCTAATTACTTCCTTGGCAGTGCCCGAGCAAAAAGGGGAGGAGAAGAAAAAGGAGTGTTTGCGTGCCTTTGCTTAAAATTAAGGAGGGACTCAAAGAATGACATCTAAGTGTAGAAATGTTGCTCTAAATAGGGAATTTGGAAGAGTAACATTTCCTTTAAAATGTAAGGCTTTTTAAAGATTGATGGTTGTATTAAGTAATCCGTCAGGGTTGAAGGAACTAAGCATTTTGGAGATACATATATTAAAAGCTTTAGCAGTGGAGATTAGAGGCATTAGAACTCAAACAGCAGCTTTTCATTTTTCTTGGATCTAGCGACAATCATTATTTACAGGCTGCAGCGGGGAGACAAGGCAGTCTTCCAAATACTCAAATGAATTTGTATATCTACGACAGCGTAACTGCTGGGCTTTCTGAAAGCGTGAGACCGGTCTTTTAGCGGACATAATTAGGTGGAAGGGTAATCCAATGTCAAACAGGAATGCATGTTGGAGTTGGCGACACTGTACAGATCGCAGCTGAAGTAAACGATAACGTCATGGCTACTTCGCAATTTGGGGTTTTCCCAAAAGGCCCACAGCTTAGAAGACAGTGGTCCAGTGAAGCACAGAGGACAAATAAACGGCGCAGGAACACAACTTTCCTGAACTCTCTCTGTGCGTTTTATCACGCCGGTCACTGAGGCAGATCCTGCAGAAAAAGGCTGCACAGATGATCTCAAATCCTCCAAATCTAAAAAGAGGAGTGAGGAGGCCAACTAGTCAGGAATCCGTTATTACTAATCAGAGAAGAATGCACTCGGATGCTGGCACTTTGAGCCTCCGAAGGACTGACGGGATGAGCTTTATTTTGTTGTGCAGGACCATTTTGTACAGGCTGTAATCATTTTTTGGAAAGATTCAAATATATGTAAATGGCTTTGAGGCAAAAGGAGACCTTGTGACCCTGTGCATGCTCTTAAAATGAAAAATAAAGGATTCCCTTAGCTCAGCAAAAACAGATTGAAAGCATATTCCTCCCATTTACTAGATAATCAAATCCACCCTTTGTGTTACAGGATGGATTCACATGCTCCTTAGAGATGATGTTATGAGTCAGGACTAGTTCGAGTCATGGTTACTAATGCTGTATAATAAACAAACATTATAGCTATTTGAAGGTATCAGTGTTGCCTTTTTTAAACCACTGTTTCAAGGACTTTATTAAGACTTCATTCCTGATTCAAGAACCAAAACATGGACACTCAAATGAAATTATAAAATATATATACTATATCAAATTATTATACATGCACTTTACCTTGTGTTTATGTTGTTAAAATAATTTAAGATGAATATAAGGAGAAAGGAATAACTATTTGGCATATTCTGAATTGATGTGCATGGTCCCACATTTTTGGGGTAATGAGAGCCACAGTTTTAGACAACCTTCTTTCACTCTGTAGTCAGGCTGTGGAAAATCAATCATAGTTGTTTTTACTTTGGATCACACAACAGAAACAAGACACACCCTTTGGCTCTGCTTCCCTCCGGCTGCAAGTCTCACAGTTTGGTCTTTCCCTAAACACAGAGATGTAAAGTCCAGCTCAGGGCGGTGCGCTCCGCAGGGCTCCGGGGTCAAAGTCATGTAGAAATGATGCCATACAAACCCCCGCCTTGGCTGACAGCGTTTCAGCCCAAAAAGCTGCAGCAAATGGAAAGTATTACTAATTGGCTAGCAGCGGGTGAGGAGGGAAACTTCATATAAACACTGTTTAAGGGACTCTATTGACTGATACAGCAAGATGGGGTTGATGCCTTACGCTGGCTTTTATTTTCAGAAATAAAAGCAATAGTGTGCTAAACACAATAAAGACACGGTGAGGAGGATGGCACTGTGGACAGTGACTAACTGTCAAGCTGCTTGCACGTCTTCATTTGCTACAGAGTGGCAAAGACATTTCCACCTACAAAGTGGGGACACAGCCAGCAGTTATTTCCACAAACAGTTTCCATGCAGAGGTTCTGTTTTAATGTGTGCAAACTTCAATGAAGCCAGGAACACTTATAAGTTTGTTTTTATTTTCACAATTTCCCATTTTGGACATTAGTGTTAAATTCCACCTATTTGTCTATACATTTACATAAACCTGAGCTGACTGCCGTCCAGGACCACATACACACAAACAGAAAGTAGGCGCACTTACAGAATTGACGATGCCTTTGAGTGCCTGGAAGCCATCTTTGACAGGAAACACTTGGTCCTTGGTGTCCGCTACATCAGCAAGCTGTTGGTATCATCAAGAGTTGAATCAACAAGAAGAGATGTAATAACTGCTTTCTTCTTTTTCTCTTATCCTCTTTATGACGGAGCACTGTCTTTCCTTTCATATCATGGGCAGGAGGAGACATAGCAGATGGCATGACTGTGGCAAACACTTTGCTCAACCATTAAAAAAAAAAATCACTTGGAGCAATATTGTCTTTGTTATTTAACTTAAGAGCTCATCACAGGATTGTTACCAATGGTTACCAAGGGACAGGCCACCATGTTGTGAGAGGGACAGTAAAACGGCAGATAGCACTGACTTTGGTGCAGACTGAAATCAGTGAAGATTATATGTTGTGGACATTTTGTTTTTCTGTGGCCAATTCAATGTGTTGAACAGTGTGAATAGTGCAAACGGTCTATAACTGATATGACTGGTATATACTGCAAATATGTAAAAACTCTATATATAACCTGATAATATATTTACATACGAGTAAATATATTATGAGTTTTGTTATGGATTTGAAAATCCTGAAAGAAATTGGTAAAGAATGATCAGATTGGTTTTCTTTGTTCATGGTTCCACACTGGTTCATAGATTGTTGGAATTCTAAAGGTAACACCCACCGTTTCATTTAGTGCAGTTCATGAGTTCACTTTGTGCAATATCAGTAACATATCGTCATTTGTTGCCATTTGAAAATCATCTCAATTTAGTTTTACCTATTTCTTTTTGTCTTTAATAATGGAGCACCACAGTAGCCGAATGGTGACAGCACTTTAGATTATCAAGCCAACTTATTATCTAGCTAATAAAGTCAATTTAAAAAATAAAGAAATCATTAACATTGACGAAATGTCTAAATATACAGATAGTGATGTCAAGGGAGCTCGAGAATTCTACTTGAAGCAGAATATTTCACATTATTCAAACAAAATAAATGACTACGTGGAGCTAAACCAATGACAGATGAGCATCTGAAAAGTGGATTATGCTGCAGGAGTTGTTTACTAGAGTTTTTATTGATATTACTTTAAGACATGGATTTTCATTACAGGTAATAGCGCTCACAATACTTGTGTTTACCTTTCTTGACACTCTTCCAACATGGCAACATGTCTCTCGCTTTTAAAATGTGATTTAGCGCACACTGCTTCAGATTAAGACTCAAGCTTTCTTACCTGCTGCTCATCGAAGTCTTTGATACCCACACAGTAAACACGGGCTCCGAATGTCCTCGCCTTGTCAGCCTGAGGATCAAACAAATGAGGGGATGATGTGCAACAGGTTGGATGTAACAAAACATTTCACATTCAGAAAAAAAAGCCACATATAAATAACAAAAAAAGAAAAAAAACGTAGCATTTTAAAATGTGTAAAGCAAGATTTGTGTTAGATAATGTGAACCTAACCTCTATCACTGTGAGCTCGTGAATGTAGGTTTCCAGTTTCCCATCAGTCAGAGCCAGGATGATGCTGGAAGACTTGGTCTTCTGCGCCTGTATCTGAGCTGAGGCCTTCAGGTTCAAATGACACCAAACGTTACATCACATCTCAAGCTCACAAGTATATTTACAAAAAAAGCTTCTGAGCCGTAATTGGGTTTATTTTAGAAAGTAACCTTACCTCTTTTATTCCCTCATGCATATATGTTTCACCTGCTGGCTTAACGGCCCGCAAGCGTTTCAGACCCTGTTCTATCGCGTATCTAAAAAACACACAAAATAATAAATGGTTGAGTAATAGTACACATGCACTTTGCTGTACTATTCAGTTTGGCCTTTTGAGGCCCAAGGCAAATTAAATCTCACCTCAATCATGCAAACATTTCCCGCAAAAAATAAGTTCTTGAAAACCCAAATCAACTGAACCTCCCGATAGTATGTAGCAATAAACTTTTGTTCTGGTACTAAACTTGCACATACAAACAGAAGTCGTATACCTAATTTAGGCCAAAGACTAGACTTTGTTATCACCGTTACTATTTTACAACAACACAGTATTTAGGCCATGAGACTTCTTAGAGTTAAGGTACAGTAACCATTTAAACAGAATTGTGTGTGTTAGGGTTCAGTACCCGTCTCCGGTCAGAGGAAGCAGGACTTCTGCTCTGGCCGAGAACACGATGAACGAGACTCTCGTTCTGGGGCTGAAAAAAAAAAAATACAAAATAGGAATTAGAAATGTCATGTTTTATCAAAATATATGGACAGTATATTATAATGTTGTGATATTTATTAAGATCTTCTCTTCCTAATCATATCCGCCCTTCATCTTCTTTATCTACCCCCCACACAGTATGACATGTAAAACACTGTTTTAGGAGTCAGTGTGACTGACAGCTTTATATATAACTTCATAGAGGTTCAGCTCAGTTCAGGAGAATTAAACAGATGAGTATAATTAAGTAAACAGCTTTTTCAATGTCAACTAATATTAATGTGCGACTTAAAGAAGCTTCAGTGGGACTGAAGGAAGTGATTAATCAACTCACAGACAGTAAACATGTTGTGAGGATGAGTCACACATAAACACTCGAACACACATCGTGTTACACAGATATAGTGTACTTTGTACCTGTGAGTGTTTAAGGTGTGAACTGTCACTGGACACTCCGATGTGTCCCTGACCACAGAGGCTGTTTACATTCAGTATCACTCCCTCTGTTATATAACAGCACACTCACTGCCTCAGAAAACTATACACATATATGCATCCTGCTGTGAACATTTAAATCCACACAAAAGTGAAGGAAAATGTACAAGTCCCACTGCACAAATGTACTTGCTGGAATTGACAATTACAAAAATGGTTACAAACAAGTCAAATAATACTTCACTCTAGTTAGAGCTGTAATGCCACAAAGGGAAAATATTTCAATACAATCCCTGTGATTTTACTGAAGTACATTCAAGAACAGGTACCAAAAGTACTTAAACCGTAAAGGTAACTCAGAATCTTGAAGTACCCCAAACTGTCCACATTTTAAGTGTTGCCATTAGTTGTCTCCTTGTTTGGCAGGCAGTTGTTTCAACAGTTTCAATAGTGGTGGCGACATAAGACCTGAGGTTTTTTTTATTTATTCAAGCAATATGACATGCTTCTCAACAAAAGTCTTTTATATTTAACATAATAAATAAGCCTTCAGGGATGCATGTCTTCAATTATTTTCCTAACATACAGGTTTTATTTTTGCCTTATTAAGATATAGACTAAAATGCAAAGAGTTATATACAAAGGATATCAAATGTTTTCAAAAATGTGTGCAACACTTTTTTATTCATCTTACTAATATTGTAATCTTATGTCTCTACATTGTGATTCTATGCTTGTCTTTTCAGTCTCTGTGAGCTGTTCCCAATGCATCTAATACATGTTTGTCCATCTTGGAGAGGGACTCCTTTTCTCACCCCAACCTGCAGTCTAAGTCTCAATCAATCTCAATCTTTATTTATATAGCACATTTAAAACAACCTTCAGTTGACCAAAGTGCTGTACAGGCAGATGAATCAAATTATAGAAATGAACTTAATTCTGAGCATGCATAATGGCCTGAAGAATTCAATCCTGCTCTTCACGTCACGCTGACAAAAGACAATTTTTTTAACATCTCATAATAAAATATTGTTATCGCGCATGCATGCATCAACTTATCTAACAACGAATATAAAATTAGAAACTATAACGACATTATATAATGGGTTGAGTAAAGTACGGATGTGAAATACATATATTTACTGTCTCTTAGTTGCTGTGGTTTACAAAACAGCGCAATTTGAAAATTAATACAACAACAAAAGCATAGAAACATCAATCAATGCAAAGTTAGTTTAATTAGCTTTTTACACATAGGAGCAAGAAAGACTCAATCTGATTTCAGAAATGGAATTTCCTAGAGAAAGTAGGATCTAAGCTCTCTAAGATCTCTATTTAAAATCCTGCATGCAATCAGTAACCTTTAAAAAGGAGGTGAAATAGTCAAATGTTTTCTTAAAAAAACGTCCCTGATTCCCATAAAGTATTAATATTCTAAAGCTATAAGACTTAGGAGATGTAGTCAGAGTTACTTCCTGTGACTGTACCAACCACACAGCACACAGATTCCATCCCACGGAGCGAGCTAAACTTCAGATAGTTAAGCACACAAGTGTTTCCTTCAGAGATCCGAAGCCTTCGGAGCATAAGGAGAGGTGCTGATATTTCTCACCCACGTGACGCATGGCCCAGTCGCGATCCTCCCCCGCAAACCTAGCACAATCTTTAAGCCACACGGCCACATTTGGCTGGTGGCGGTAGCAGCCGTATACATCCACATCCTGTCTGCGAGTTTCATATGTGGACTTAAAAGTAGCTCGAGACGAGGATAAATGGTGGGTGGTGACTTAAGGCTTTCGGTGGGGATTGTGATTGTACATGTTACTGCTGAAGCAGTATAGAAAGACTAAGACACAGTGATGCCAAGGACATATCAGAGGGTGGTGGTGGTGGGGGAGGGGGTTGATGAAGTAGTCCAGTTTGCTCCACATGGCGCGACAGAAGAGCTCTTGGTGAGCGAGCATTGTTTAGCAGATTGTCCTCGTCGCCTTCCAGTGTTCTTTTGCTTTACTGTACATTGTCTGCCTGTCAGCCATTCTGTGGTGGAAGCAGGGGATAAGTGTGGAGCCGGACCCCCCCGGTGCGAATGGCCATTCTCACAGCCCAGAAGACTGCTCCTCTCTGCCACCCACTCCCACCTGGTGCCTTTGCTATTTTCTTCAACCAACCACTTCATTCTGGCTGGGTCGCCGCCGTCTGTACTGTGCTGGCAGGCGCCGTTTGAGTCAAACGTTATGCAAGCCGAACGTTTCAAGCTGGTTTCTCTGCTTTCGTCTTTTTAAAGAATTATGTGCAAAAAGGGTGTCATAGATTTAGCTATTTGATAGTTTGTAAAAACAGGTGGGAGATGCAACTAATGTCGTAGGCTCTGTAATTATAGCCATTAACTGCAAAAGATAATTGAATATATTAAACATGCAAAAAATTGGGTATTTTGGTACAGAGGGTATGGTTGACCTACTACGTCATCTTTATAAAATAGTGAATTTTGTTTTCTCTATGAAAATTATTCTAACATTAAAATGGCTTTTTTATATTTATTTGAAACCATGAATCTTATTCTATGGAGCATAATTCACTTCTGCGAGCATTATGAAACCCTAAAACGTTGTTTCCAAAGACAATGCCTGACATCAACACTAGCTTTGTACTGACCTCACAAATCTGTCGGTGAGGTTCTTCACGAACGAGTAGATCTCGACCCAGTCATTAGCGACACTTCCGGACCTGAAACGAGAAAACAACAGTTAGTTTGCAGCTCGTCAGTGGCAGCAGATTGTGTGCTGGGGAGTAAAATACTGTACAGTATTTGTGCTATGCACCACAACCACAGTTGGACATTAACACCAGCCACATGCTGGATAATTGTGCTGATAAGTCTATGTTGTATAGCAGCCACTTCAGCTGTTAGAACACACAAATGTTCACAGGAGCTTAGTCTTTCTACATATCTACTTGGCAAGACATTTCAAATGCAGAAGAATCACCAATGTGACAGTAACTGCGTCCAGGCCAATATGAGTAATGGTTCCACGCCACACTCTAAGAAAACATGGAAAAAATCCTCAAATATAAAAGATCTAGGTTCAGAAAAAATGTGTCAGGTATGCACTAGGAGCAATGGGCAAGAAAAGATGAAATAATGAAGGAATAAATTCAATTTCTAACGTACTAAATCCAAATATGTCAACAAGTCCAATAAGGAGTCTTGTTGCATGATTCTAGAGGGGTAAGTCCAGTAGAATGGATGAATTGTGCTGGCATTGTAAGATTTATTTGACTTACAGAAAAATGATCTTTCCCGATTGAACTCCTGCTTTCCTATCCTTTATTGATCCTTGTATATCCTTCCATGTGTTATTCAAGCAAACCTTCTTTCCTTCCTTGTTTCAGCTCGAATAAAAGAACAAAACATGGAAACTGTGTCAACCTGTAGCCCTCGGCCCTTCTCACTTTTCAATAAGTCTGTACGAACACAGTGAGTAAAATATGCCCTTGATGTTACGACAAAGAGGTTATTAAAGCAATAATTACAATTCAATGTAGAGAACATAAAACAGAGGGGTTTGACCATTCGGAGGCTCATCTTTCATGACACCTCGTTCTCCTCCCTGCTGCCCTACAGACAAGGTCACACAGCTCGAGGGTAAAGGAAAAGTTAAACTGCACTTTGACAACATTGTGTCAGTGGTGGATTAGCAGTGTTTAAGTGTTAAAGGGGTATTTCATGTGGAGACAAATGTATTTGATTTGCTCCAGGACTAATCTAAAACTGGTCTGTGTGTTTAGGGTGTTCCTGTAAAAGGGAGCGTGGATCTCAGTGAAGCTTCCCTTAATAAAGAAGGATTAGTCAAATGAGAGAATCAAATATCATTACTTGGTGTTAGAGTACCAATAATGTATGTTTTATTGTTCAGAAATGCTTCCGAGCATGCTACTAAAATCTAGAGCACAACAAAAAAAAGTGCTGACTTAGGATCCTTGTCTTATCAGGACAAGCAGGAAGTCTGGGAGTAGAGCGATTGTATCTGCAGGGACAAACTTCCATCAAAGAGACATGCTACCATTTGGCACCCTGACAAACTGATGAAGGAGCATGCTGATGCACTGCAGATTGGGCTTATATATTTCACAAATATAAACGTGCAAAAGGAAATTAACGGACCCCCAATTCAAATAGGTAGTCATACACTTGGTTAAACCTGTTGTAATAATCTCAGTCATCATCCTGTGATTTAGCCATTTAGACGAGGGTGGAGTAGTTTAAAAATGGGTCAGGGGGGGCAGTGTTTCAACTCAACGGCCCTTGATGGCATGTTTCCAAGTTGGGGGAGGAAAGGATTCAAAGATGCTGTGAAGGCTGTGAACTCCACAACATTTATTGGAGGCCTTTTGGCATGACGCTCATACAAAGTATTGCTGAACTGACAGAATCTAGCGTGGTGCATGTTTGAAGCAGCACTAGAAAACACAGGAAGTGGTGCATTGCCAAAGTGTGTTACACTTGGTGATGCAATTCTTTCTTGCTAGCATGCACAAATAACACACAAGGACTTCACTGACATTTAAGGTCTTATTATCTCTGCCTAGGAGGCTAGTTATCGCTGTGTGTGTCCGTGGGAAAACCTTTCCAACTGTAAGAATCCACACAAACTCCTCCGAAAGTCGTAACAACTTTCAATTTGCTTTCAAACACTCTGAGCAAAGACATACAACACATGTTCTCATAAACACCTGCATTTAGAAGAATAAACGTCCCAACTCCGGAAATGGGAGGTAAATGGATCGCTTTCCTTGAGACCTGCACTTTTTAAAAGCCATCCTAGTTCTGGTGACTCAAAAGACTGCCCCATATTCGAGGCTGGAGTCCTCAATTAAGATAAACAATATTATATGGTCCAGAGTTCCCGTTAGAATATTTTTTCGTCGGTCAACATGTCCGTTAAAGTTTAAATCTTCCGGACAAAATTTGAAAAGTGCCGGTCAAAGGTCTTCTTTGTTATTTATTGAGCTTTAAAACAAACAAATTGATATGATTCGATATTAAACAAACTAATAATAGTAGATTAACTATTCAAAAGTGTACAGTAATTTACAATAACACGAGAATAATAAACGGAGCGCTCTCTCCCTCTCCTGACAGCCCGTCAGTATCATGCAGCTCGCGGATCAGTAATGAGCAGTGGTGAGCTGTCAGGGCCCTCTAGGCCCTCTGTGAGGGCCTAAGATATTCTACAAAATAATATTTAAAACATTAAAAAATAATTTTCTTTTTCTATATTTTTTTTCTATATTTTTTTAGTTATATTTTTCATTAGTTTTACCAAAATAACTTGATTAAATTGTATTTAAAATAAAATTTCCAAAGAAATAAATCCTTCGAATCTGCCTATTCAGTTTCTGTTGGAATGTGAAGGGTTAAATGAAAGAAGCTCGTCCCTGCGAGTTACTGTGAAGAGAGGAGCTGTTGGACGTCCAGGCGGTCCAGCTATGAATTCACAGAGGGCCCAGCTATAGTAACTGAACGAGAGAGTAATGTCAAATGACAGTACAATTGACCAATCATATCTTCCCTCTAAATAGGTGGGCTTTATTATCGCGGACTTTATGACAAGTTCCGCCCGCTGTGAAACGTTTCTTGTTTCCAAAGCAACAACAACTGTCAACAGCGTAAACTCGCCTTCAAAATAAAAGCATGCCAAATTACACTTAAGACATACAACTGCAACGAAAGTAACAAGCACAATGCAATATCCTTTTCAATTTCAAAGAACACAAATTGGGTTATTTACAGGTGTTGTTTTGTGTGGTAGAGGGTCGCTTTCATTGATGCGTTTTGCACCCCGGGCCGTTGTTTTGATATTCCACCAGTGTGGAAAAAATAAAAAAAATAAAAAAAAAAGAAATCTTTTTTTATTTTTTTTTATTTTGTATTTCGCAACCCACCTATCACATCGCCCCACACTTTGAGAAACGCTGGTCTACAGCATGAATCTGCTTAATGAAAGGCAGGTTCTGAGCAGAGGACACATTTTTAAACAAATATCTTGTTTTTTACTTTTGTTAGGTCTGATTGTTCTGGTATCTTACATAGTACACTTAAGTAAAAAACATCTTATTGATATTTATATATATATTTACAGGTGAGCAGTAATTGTTACAGATGACATATTCACAGTTACCCTGGCAACCCTGCTTCTTTAACTGTATGCTCAAGAACCACTCGTGATTGTGCTTTTTTTTTAACAGTTGAATAGATGGTCATTTTGATGACATTGACTCTTATCTGGTGTGTTGGGCTGCTTTCTTATTAGTCTAAAGAAGCTAAGACCAGCTATGAGACGTAGAACACTCGCCCCTCGGACAGCTAACAGCTGACACAAAGCTCTTGATTTCCACATAAATTCACAATGATGTTTCCCATTTTAATCATAGGTCAATATTCAAAATGTAAAAAATGGATCAGCACAGCTACACAGTCAGGCTGATATTATTATTATTATTATTATTATTATTATTATTATTATTATGGGGTGTTATTCACTTGCTGTTAGTGGTGGGTGTGTTCCCTGGAGCTTAGAGCTGGTTGTGGTTTCACCTGACTGCTCTCACCTGCTCATTTGTTTTTTTACATGGGCAGAGAGTAAGTGGGTCCGGAAGTGAAATGTTCTGTTGACCGCAATCACACTTCCATCGCAATCGCAAAAACTGGTACTGGGATAGAGTGTATTTTTGGAATAAATGAGTGTGTGCGTGAAAGTGTTTCTCCAGCCGCGACAGGCTCTATGTGGTTAACCCTCCAACAGGCAGGGGGACAAATGAGTCAAAAGTATTCAGATAGTGTACAATGAAAACTCAACCATGAGACAACCTTTTCACACTTTCAAACAAATCGTCCACTGGTTCTAACAATTGTGCTTCCTTTCAAGCATATAACCAACAGTTACAGTAGCTGTTTTCCCAGGTCTCTGCACTGTGACATCTTTTAAAACCCAAAATATCTGTGCTGACCACCTCAGATATGTTTGATGCATCACATATTAGTTTACTGCACTCTGTGTGCCTGAAGCTATCTTTGAGGACATTCAAAGGTTCTCCTCAGATAAAAAGCTTTTCCTCGCTCTCAAAGCTCACCGCTGTCACAGAGAGCGGGGCTCCAGGAGTCAAACATCACTTCTGATGGCATGCAACACATAGCTCGCAAACGTTCTAATTGGTGCTAGCAGTGTTACCTGAGGTCGTACAGGAGCTCCGTTGGAGGAGAGTCTGCAGAAGAAAGGAAGAGGAGGCTGCTCCGGTGTAACTCATCATAAATGTGAGCAAGGCTGCTCTCTTCCCTCCAGGTGTTTCACTCTCTGTCTAACATCAGTGTAATTAGTGGTCTGGGTAAAGCAGAGACAGGAAGAGCTGTGAGTGGAGTCCATGCCTGACCCCACAGCTTGGAGGAGCTGCATGTCTCTTTTTGCAAACCATTACAAATAAAAATATGTTGTAACCCCCCCCCCCCTGCCTCCAGGCTACTGAGCACAGCTGTAACAAGCAATGACATCTGCTGAGAACAGGAGGAAAACATGGCTCACAAGAATTCAATGTTTTGGAGCAATACATGAGGAGGGTGAGAGTTGATCTTTGGAAATACATTTATTTATTTCTCTTGCTTCCACTTATCTGTTATCCTCCGCCATGGAAACTGTAAAACAGAGGAAATATCTAATATATTTTTCATGCTGAAA